GAAAGAACAACATCCAGAATCAGAAATAACAGAACAGAGGCTAGCAGATCAACACTGATGTATAATACGAAATAAAGATTCACAGAAGTAGAATTGGAAGAACTGCAAAAGTCTATCCAGGGCAAAGAAACCAAAGCCTTATCAGAAATAGCTCAGACTGTAGAGGCAAACTGAGGGAGTCGGCAGTAGAGGAAGCCAGCATAGCTATTGAATTTTCATTCTCAAACCAGGCACCCTCTCCTCTGCCTTCTCCTGAGAAAGTACACAGCCCTCTAACTTAAAAACAAGAGGAATTGAAACAAAGAATAATTATGCATCTAGAACAGCACAAAGACAACAGAATAAGGTTGCCTGCATTGAAGCTTGTTACAAAGAAACAGCTAACACAAGTATTAAAAGATGCCAATGCTGTAATATCAAATATAAGCACCAACTCACTGCAAGAAACAAACCAACTGATGTACAGGACGGCTGCAGTTATAACTGAATACTGTGGATGCAAAATCAACAAGCAAGAAAAAAAGCCAAGCAGTGCACCACCAAAATGGAAGATCAGGATGGAAAATAAGATCAGCATGCTAACATCAGATGCAAGCAAGCTAGAACAGATGAAAAAGAGGAAGCTGAAGAACAAGAACACCAAGGAATACCTGATCAAGAAATATCAGCTAGAAACAAGGAACATCAAGGAAGCACTGGAAATAAAAAACTAGCAAATAACAGCCATAGCCAGGAAGATCAGCAGATACAAAGCTTGAATCTATAGACAGAATCTCCTGTTTCAGCTGAATCAGAAACGTTTCTCCCAATCCATCAATGGAGAGGCTGCTATGAACCAGTCAACACCTGACAAAGAAGAAACAGTGCAGTTCTGGGCATAGCTATGGGACAATCCAAAGAAATACAACAAGAATGCAGCTTGGATAAAGGAAGTAGATAAGAATAAAAAAGAAGCTGAAATGAAAGAAGAATGCAGCTTGGATAAAGGAAGTAGATAAGAATAAAAAAGAAGCTGAAATGAAAGAAGAATGCAGCTTGGATAAAGGAAGTAGATAAGAATAAAAAAGAAGCTGAAATGAAAGAACTTGTAATAACAGCAGGAATGGTGGAGAAAAGGACAAGGAAGATCAAGAATTGGTCAGCACCAGGTGGATGAACTGCCTACTTTTTGGTTAAACATCTGACAGGTCTGCACCGACTCATTGCCAAGCAATTTAACAACATATTGCAAGGAGGTGAAATTGAAAAAAAAGATGGCAAGTATGATGAAGTGAGGGGTCTCATTTTTCCACGCCAAAGGCCAGGGTGAACGGTAAATGTAAATGTTTTCACATTTTCAAAGCCAGTTAGGATTCACCTTTGATTTGTCATCTGAGGCCCATTTTTTAATTTTTTTTCATCATTTGTATTTGTCCATCCATCTCTCTGTGTATCTGTTAATCTGTTGCTTGTGACCAGATGCAGAGGAGAATTAGGCTCCTATAAAAGACCACATTTTGCAGTTCAGCTTTTCTTAGACTTTCATATAACCCGCAGATGTGACAGGAATCATTTCTCAGAACTGCTGAGAGTAAACTATCTCACTCACCTTTTCCATGTGATACTTCTCAATCTAATCATTTATTACATTTATATCCTGCCTTTTCTCTGAGAACTCAAGAGGGGTGTAATTTTTTTGGGGGGGGGAGAGTGCTTCTCCCCATTTTATCACCATCAGAACAACCTTGTGAAGTGGATTGGGCTGAGAGTGCGTCTGGCCCAAAGTCACCCAGTGAACCATATGATCATTTCATTTAATTTTGCAGGTATCCAAACTGAGGAATCCTTGAGAAATGGCTGCACAGTCTTTGCTTGAACGCATCCAGAGAAGGGGGGTGGGGGACATATGGATTCCAGTGCCCAAGTACTCTCTCATCTCTCTCTCATCTCTCTCTCTCTCTTTCTCTCTCTCTCATCTATCTATCATCCTCTCTCTCTCTCTCTAATCTATCTATCATATTTCTATCCTTATTCAGGCTGCCCAGCTCAAAACTGACTCCTAGTGTTCATGAAAGTATACAATGGTAAAGTATCAAACAAAATTAATACAAACAGATATCCCAGTACAGACTGGTGCCCACACAATCAGCAACCAATAACCAGCATCTAAACCCCAATGCCCACTCATACCAAAAGATTGGCGCTCCAGTTGATTTAAAGTACAAACGAGAGGCAAATGCTGCTCACTGTTTGTTGCTGGTTCTGGTCCAAATGAGTCCACTGCAAGTTTTCCACTCCTTCTGCTGGGAAGGGGGTTCCCATGGCCATACCTTCCATGACTTTATTACTTTGGGGCAGGTGGTGCTACTTTGCCTACTCCAAGCCCATGGGCTACTTCTAGGGGTTGCTGGCCATGGCCACATGCTGCCAGCACGGCCTTTCCTTTGCATCTTGGTGGGTTAGGATAGACCAGAGCTGAGGTGAAATTGACAAGAGGCACAGCTGAGGGGCACAGAATGAACTAGGACAGCAATTGGCCATTGTTCTTCCCACCAGTAGCTATCGCTGGGTGGGAGGGGAAGTGCAGCCAGTGGAATATACCAACTGCTGCCCTTAAATTGTCCCACATTAATACTGTAATGTCTGCAGTCACCAGCGTCATCATTAGGGAGAATGGAGCACAGCCTAGCAGCAATACAAATTCCCCAACCCTACAGTTCCCAAACTGTGTGCTGTGGTGCCCTGGGGTATCACAGTGACCTCACAGGGGCACTGCAGGATATTTTGAATACTTGCAACATCCTTTTATGAAGCTGGGGTTTCTGCAATTTTTTGGCTTAGGGGCTCCATGAAAAAATTATTGAGACACTAAGGGTGCCATGAATGTCTGCCCTAATTCTTTTCTACTGACTCAAGGACAAGATGAATGCAGATTAACTCAACCTTTAGAAAGAGCCCCAAGGCTTCCAGGGAAGAAATGGCTGATTGAACACAGCTCCGTTCTTTGTGGAGCTGATGCCCACGGCAATTAGAGGAGCTGGCCTTGGTCCAGCTCTTCAGAATCATCTCCAGATAAAGGAGATTGACAGGATCACCCACAGGTACTCC